CGTTTGTCCAGCGTGTGCTTGAGTGCTGTAAGGCCGTCATTATGGGGAATGACGGTGTACAGAGATGTGATGTCCATGGTAAAAATGTGGCATTCGGTACCCTGAAATTGGAAATCATTGAAAAGTTGGAGCGCGTGGTTGGTGTCTTTGATGTATGAGGGAAGATGTATGTAATAGCTACATATGCCCCTTGCAGATTTTCTTTGAATTCTCCCCCATTCCATTCTAGATTACATGTGTTTGAAATTCTCTGTAGATCCCTGCACCAAAACAATTTGTCCCCATCTTTTGACAATGATACTGTATAAGATGAAATTCAATGTACAATACATTATGCCCACTGTCCACTGTATTTGAAACCAGAAACAAACAAAAAAAATGAAATTCAAGTCAATTTTATAGCAAAGCTTGGGTGTAATTTGGAATTTGCGATATCTAAATATCATTATTCATAAAAATCCATTCCTGTTAAACTAAGCAACATAATTTACCACACTGCCTTTCTGAGGTCACTTTAGCTCTTACTATATTTCTGTAACAGCTCATCCTCTAATGCATTTAATATATTGTAATGGAGAGTTCATACTGTAATTTCTTACCATGGCAGAAATGTGTATAGTGACTCATTGCCATTGCCTTTAATATACTCAAGGCAGTATACAGGTTGAAAACCTTTGAACTACACCTTAAATTTGTGTAGGTATGCAGGTTCAAACAGCTCATTAGCTAATAACTGAAAAGTATAAACTGATATGTGGATAAAAGTAAATTGAATTAAACTACTTTTTTTTCACTGAGTTTATTTTTCAAAGTGCTTTAGTCAACATACAACCATTTTATTTCTAAGTTGCTTATTGAAAGTCCATTTGTATTTTAATGCATTCTGTGTTAAGCAATTTCCTTTATTTCATCTGAGCAGAATGGGCTTTCCCCCATTTTAAATCCAATAAAGGTAATTGTTCTTAGAAACATGTCAATATGCTCTCAAAAGTCTTTGTTTCCTATTAAATTCATATAGCGCGCTAAAGCACTCAACATTTGGAAAATCTGTGAACTAAACTATCACCACTTATGCTTGGTGTATCTAGCACAGACCTTCTTTACTTTATTGAAATGCTTGTCTGGATTGCTGCCTAAACACTGAGATATTTCGCACAGGCTGTATAACAAAAGTCTGAATTTTGTTACAGGTACAATTTTGTTTAGTAAATTACCATTATTAAGATATATTCCTATACCCATATTCTTTTCTTCTATTGTTTTCAGATTAAATTCAAATCTTGAGTTAATGTAAAACTGAACTGTTACCTAATAGTTTGGTGAGACTTCTATTTTTCACTATTCAATGATATTTAATCAATGACAGTTTATTAGACAAAAACAGATATAATCTAGGTTTTGGATATTTGGTGCACTGTATCCAAAATATTATCTCTGAGGGAATGCATATCAACATGCAAACATGCATCCCAATTTTCAACAACAACTTAATAATTAAGTGCATTTAAAAAATGACTGTCAACAGCAATCTGCATGGTCTGAGCCTCTGCTGTGCAGCTGGGCCAGCAAGCAGTGTTTGAGGCGCCCTCTGGTGATCAGAAGATGGAACCTGAACAACTGGCTGCAAGGCGGGATACATTTTGGACAGGACAACAGTTCATTATAGGGCACAGGCACACACACAAGCTCTCACAGCATAATTTAGAGATGACAGTTAACCGAGACAGCATGCCTTCAGATTGTGGGAGCAACTGGTGAAAACTTGTCAATGTCACAATGTCAACATGAAAGCTCTACACAGAAGCCACCCTAGTTTCCAGACCAATAGCTGTGAGACAGTATTGATAACCTCCTGACTAGTGTGCCCCCCCCCAATTCATGACCACTTTAAACTAAACAGATGCTTTAATAAAATACCTGGCCTTGCTGTGACAAAGCTTTCTCAAGGTCTTCTATTCTTGTTTGGTATTGAGTGATTTCTGCCTGTAGTTGTTCTCGCGTCTAAAGAAACAGAAAATAAAAGTTAAACGTGATAACGCTGAAAATATCTGAAAGACATTTTCCTTAATTAAGATCTCATGGATTGCTCAATATGAATATAAATAATGTTATTGAACACGGTGCCTATCCAGATGCATGGTGAAAGAATATGTCATAATAACTTTTAACCCTGTTAACTATTAACCCTTATTTATTTGTGTAATGAAGGTGTTCATTCCGGACCCTATGCAGACGACACAATCTGGGGTTGAGTTAGGAAAACAAGGGGAAAAAAGCATGTGGGAGTCGGGAAAGTAAACAGCTGGCGTGTCCATGTTGCGCTGGTGTTCGGGGAAGGTGTGGCCGAGGCAAACAATCCAGAACTGAGTCCAAAAGGGGAATCCAAAATGGGGCAAAAGTCCAAAGCCAGGTGATCCATCCACGACAGACGAGATAAAAACAAGAACCGGGTCGGGAACAGGAACAGGAACAGGAGCCTTGATGGGGCCAGGTGCTTCCAGGTCCCAGACTCGCCTGTTACGGGAACCAATGCAGAGCCCGGGACAGAGTAGGCGTCTGGCTTTTAAAGGGGGCTGGAACAGGGAGCAGGTGCGGGAGATGAGTGAAAAACAAGGAAGGGCTGGAGCGTCCTTAAGAGGAGGGGTTTAATTTGCTTTATTTTTATTACTTACAAAAAATCCAAGCCAAATTATAAGGGTCACAACAACTTGGAGCCTATTTGAGAAGCACAGGGTGCAAGAGGGACAGCACCCTGAATGGGGTACATTCCAATGCACACACAAAGATACAGTTTAGTGATACTGATCAATCTGTTAAGAATGTCTTGGTGAGGTGGAATGAAATCAGAGTACCCACAGAAACCTGTATGAACATGGGGAGAACTTAAAAATACTTAAATGTTATACATTGTTTATATATTTATTGGGTTCGCATGTTCCTATTTCCACCTGGGGTTCTCTTGGCGCTCCTTTTAACTTACACTATCCAGGCTAGCTGGCTTCTCTAAACTGACTGTAGTATGTGTATGAGAGTGTGTGCCATGCAATGAGTTGGAGCTGTCCCAGCCTTGTACCCTGTACCCTTCAAGTTAGGTTTGCAATCACAAACTTTAATCATAAAGACGTTATTGCAAATGTATGAATAGACACATATTTATTATTTTGTATGATCATTTAAAATAATTATAATAATTAAAATATATTTTTAAGTCATTCTGAAGTTTCTATTGATGCTGTAGCATTTATATAAATAGAATAAAGATTAATTCTGACAAAAACTTAAAACAAATACCTTGACTTCTCTTTCAGCATCAAATGTTCCCCCAACCTGCTCTTGCAACAGTGCGTAGGCCCGTTGTAATGCTTGGTACTCCATTGTCAGCTGTCGAAACCGCAGTTCTGTCTCTTCTTTGACCATGCCCTGCAATATTGCAGAGACAGTTGTTGCTTTAAATAAGCTAATGCCTCAACAGGGTTGCACACAAGGTAAAACTCCTTAGTTGTATTACTTAAAAACACAGCTCCCATGGAATTAAATGGATTTCTATGTCAAACATTTGTGAAACTCAGGATTTCAGTGACATTGAAAAAATTATGAAAAATGTCCTCTCAACTGTTTTTTTCTGAGTAATTTAATCTGTATGATGCATGTATTAATACATGTCTGTTAACTTAAAAAAACTATACGATATACTATATCCTTACATCTTCTAAATCATCATCAGGCGTGCAAGGAGTCCTGTCGGTTTGATAAGAGATTGAGGAGCCATCAGAATCCAAAGATGCATCTTCATCATATCCAAAGAATGTTTCTACCACCGGCTTCTGAGGACAACACAGGATGTTAGAGGCTTTCACGGCACTTGCAAAAGAGCGGAAATCTAGCTGAGCATGAGCATTTTGTGTCAAATTATTAAAGTGCATTAATTTTGTGAGGCTTACTGTTTGTTTGTTACTGCTTGTTTTAATCTGATTTTAGCTTCTTGATATTTCTAGAAATAAACCTGTAACTTCTTACCTTACATGGCTTGACAATTTTTTTCCTTTGTCGTCTGTACCTCAGAAGTTTATCACGCTCCTGCACAGAATACATGCACAGCAAACCAGTTATGAGGCTATGCAATGTAGATAAAGACAAATGACGTGATCAATGAAAAGTAATTTTAATGCCAATCCTGATGCTCAAACCGATTCATTCTCAGTACTGTAAAAATTCCTAGGTTCTTTAAACATAAACATCCACTGAAATAAAATTAAAACAATGCCCAAGTTACAGTCTTCATGATTACCGTTAGAAAACAGCAGCAACACCTGAATACTGGCATCCTTGAGAATCTGAGAAACAGAATGTCTGAACCCTATTCTGTCTTGTGATATACATGTTCTTTTGTGGGTAAACTATAGAAGAAAGGGTCTAATAAAATATCTAGATCAGGTCTTTCCCTGTAGCTAAGTATGAATAAGAAGAATAAAATTAAATCTTACTATGACACTCTTTACATAACCAGCAGTTTCCAGTGCCTGAAATTCAAAAATAAAATAATGAACATTTAAAACCTAGCATCTAAGAAGATTCTAATTACCTAGTATTTACATTTCAGTATCTAATCTGTTTACATAGTATACTGTACTTGTCCTACAATTGTAAGCATATACAGTACTGCATATATTCATGTACATATTCTACATACAGAATAATGTTAATTCTTTTGAATCTTTATTGTATACATTTACCAAAAACAGAGAACTACATCATAATTATATTATGTTAAAGATACTGTATATACTGTAACTGTATTTCTAAAGGATTTGGTGATTGAGATTACATTCTAAACAGTGTTTATGCTGAATAGACTAGAATGACTAAGTGTGAGGCCAAGACTGATATGTGTTATTGTGTTACCTTCGACAAATCATCAATGATATTTTGTTGCTCAACAACTTGCAACCTCAGAAATTCAATCTCTCGCTCTTCTTGACTCTGATCAAGGTCATTCAAGGAGCTTGGGCGCCTGATGGTTCCCACTCTCTCTCTCTAGACAGAAAATAAAATATTGTTATACGTCTGAGAACTAGAACAGATAGATAGATGCACACAAAACCCCCGGACGTTAATCTATGTCCAAGCAGTTCATGTTTATTTCAATAGCATTGTTCCAAAGACAGACCATGTTTCTCATTAGTTAGCTGGACTGCTGTTTCAATTGACAGGCAGAGTTTTTCTAAAAATATCCAGGAGGTCAGACCTTTAACCTTCTTTACACTTAACAACTCTCAGATGCTGTTCTGTCTACTAATTCACTAGCAGTGTAAAATGCTATTAGGAAAATTGTACATTTAGCAAATTTAGAAAAATACTATAACCGAAGAGCAAAGTACACTACAGCAGAATTTTTTAATTTAAATATAGACTGATTTTAGATGACAACAAAATTAATCTGACAGCACTATCCTTGAAAAAACACACACAGTGAACTAACAATTTACCATTTCCATGTTCTCCTGGGTGACAAATTTCAATTTGTTCTCCATACGACGAAGGGCATGGGCCAGCTCTTCATTTTTTCTGCTAAGTCTCCTGTTTTTATCCAGTACAGGTTTGTATTGACTCTCAGCTTCCCGAAGCCGCTTGAGCTGCAAGAGTTCAAAAAAGAATACTGCAGCTTTACAGCATAAGAGAACTCATCCGTTCTGTGTTCAATATTTTTCTTTGGTACATGTTCTGACATATCTCTTCTCTTTATTTGATTTAATGTGAAAAACTTAATAAGAATTATCACACATGGCTCAGTCTAATAGTTGATGGATTTCTGTTATGTGTATGTTTATGTGTATGTTTTTATTATTGTAAACACAGGTGTACTCCTCAATGTGTTCACATATTATAGACAGCAATTAATATAGTCTATTTGTTTAAAAGATGTGCAGGATGGGATATACTGTAAGCTTGGCAATAAAATAGCTTTTTGTTGCTGCCAGCTCCCTTGTTGAATTTTTCATGTACTGTATATAGCCAGTAAAAAGGTTTTCCTCTTACACATCACAAAGTCTGATAACTACATCTTAGATTTCTGATCTAAGAAAAAAAGTCACTTCTCTGTTTCACTTACCAAATGTATAAAGTGCAAGCTTTTGACTCACCATTTTACTGTGACAAAGACAATGAAGAATAAAGTGTCAAAACCTTCTGTGCAGTTAATCTTAGGCAAAAGCTTTGCTTCAAGTATTTAAAGTATTTAAAGTAGGTATTGTGTACAATTTTGGTCACCATGCTACAAAAAAAGTTATTGCCACTCTGGAATCAGTCCAAAAAAGAGAAATCAGGTATATCCAGACTCAAAGGGTTATCCTACTGTAGTTTGACAGACTAAAAGAACTGAGTCTGAATTTCGAAGTGTAAGGCACCAGTTAGTTGCCTTTGATTACAGTTTGTACATCACCACTTCAATCAGAAAAGAGCAATTAACCCATGATTCTTTTAGATTGATAGAAGCACTATCAATATGCTGTTGAGCTACAAAGTCAAAAGCACCCTCAGTTACTACTGGATGGAAGTTTTACTTTCCAGCAGTCACTGGCAATTCCTCAAAGATGAGGCACAGAATCATCAGTCTTTGTTTACAGAAAATCCCCTTTGACCTTCTCTGTCAAAACTTCAGCAGTGTAAAGATTTGGCTTTTAGTTGCCTGTACAGATTTTCTGAACCAATAACATATTCTAGACCAGGGGTATCTCTAGTCCTGGAGATGCATTATCCTGATACAGGTACCCACTATCCACCTTCTACAGATCTGGAACAATGTAAATCATAGGGGTGACTTATTAAAATATGTACAGAAATTTAGAGATCATTTGGTAGAAAAATCATCATACTCTTTAGCGCTCAATAACCAGGTTTCTCTTAACTAATCAATTTTTTATCTTAATTGATCAATGGTTCCGACTGTTCCTTATCTTTTAAGGCAGTGATTGAGGGTGACCTACTGTATAAGACTTACTAGACTGGGACTCTCCAGGACCTTGGCCAGAGGACAGAAGACCACTGCCTTACACATGTTCACATTGGCTCTTTATAAGCACAGACTGTAATATGTAGAATGCCCAGCAGGTGGATTTGGAGCATGATCAATGCTGCTAATAACATAACATTATCATGTTAATAATAGGTTATGTGCAGCAACAGCAAAAAGAGTTGATGTTTATTTTCATCTTCCTTATCTTCAATGTCAAACTCATCTGCCCTTGTCATTTATTAAGTAATTTACTTCCTGAAAAGGCTGAGTTTGAAAAAAAGATGAGGTGGAAGACCTAGTAGACTGTATCTGAGATTCCACAATTTTTCATTTATATTCTTTTCCTGTTCCAGATAGCTTTCAAGCTCAAGACAGGTATGCTTACTCTCTGTGTTAAGATGGGAAAATTTGTTTAAAGATTCTCTAATATTCTTTATGTATAGAGCTTATGTACATTATAATTACAGCTATTTCATGTCCCTGTAATTTGATTTTCACTGCTGACAATAGCACTGGCTTTTCTATTACAGTAATATTAAAAAATTACTGATTTTATAAAAATATGTTCCTTCTTTATCATGATAAATGATTTTATGAGAGATCCAAATGTAAATGAGACCTTGGAAAGGTCATGTTAATACAACAGCCCACATCATCTATTATTCAATTTTAATATTTGGCAAATATAAATGGTCCATTTTCTTTACAGCAGTCTTTCATTCTTTTCTCTGCTGGCTGTGTAAAAAATCCCCTTTGGCTTGAATGTTCAAATTTGTTCTCTTAATGGCAGGAGCTATCTTACAGAAAGGCCAATAATATGCCAATCTAAAAAAAAACTGCTGCATTCAAATTTCTCATAATATTTCTGTTAGTTTAACAATATGTCTCAAAATGATAGAAAGGGTGAATCTGATATTATTTCCCAATGCAGAGAAACAAATGTCACCACACACAATCACCATGACCCTTAACAGGAAATAGGATGGGTGTTCATGATTGTTCATAGAACTACAATGATACAACATGGAGAGAATATTTACTTTACATTGAGGTGCTACCTGAGTAGTTTTATCAGCAAACTAAGCTCTGCTTGGAATTTGACCAGTTTGCAAGAAGTGTGTTGATCCTGGATTTCTTTTTATGTGTTTTTTCATTTTGAAAACGTCACGAACAGTATGATATGATATTCAGAACGCCACAAATAACTGATTTCTTTCATTTTTTCCCCTCCATTTAATGGATAATTATGAAATTATGTAAAAAATGAATCAAAGCGAAACTGAAATGGGTCAGCCCTGATGGACTGACGTCCTGTCCAGGGTGTATCCTGCCTTCTGCCTACTGCTTGTCAAGATGACCTGAAATTGGGTGAAGTGATAAGAAATGGATGGAAGGATGATACAGAATGTCCTTTCCAAAGGAAAAGAATAAAGTAAAGAATACATCCTAATAAGTCAGCATAGAGATACTTTGGGGATTTATATCATACAGTAATATTTAACTGTGCTTCACATGAAGAACAACGTAAAGAGAAACTAGGACAAGGAGACAAATACATTGCTCACCAGTTCATTCCTTTCCTCAGACAGCAGTGCATTACGGTCTTCCAGTTTCCGTATGATGGCACTCAATTCAGCAATCTTAAGCTGGAAACGCCGAGCATCTCTTTCATCCAACTGCTGTTCCTAAAACATAAACCAACTGCAAATAACTGAACATCAGCCCAGCTTCCAACAGGCTTCAGAGCCAACCCAAGCACTGAAGAGCTCATCGGAGGCTGTATAGTCCATGTGCACTGATTAAAAAAGAAGCATTATGCTTAACTGTGCCTTTATCTGATTACTTAAATTAACATAAAACTACTCTAATATAAAAGACGTTTCAGTAATTTCTTAACAGTTTTGTTGGTGTATGACTGGGAAGTACACTGAAAGAACAGGGAATCACCTCTCCATGCCTTCTGTCCCTTTTCCCACACATTTTTGAACAGGGAGCACAGTAAACCATTCAAGCTACACTTTCACCACACTTGTATGTACTTAAAACACCTGTACATGTACTGTAATAAATGAAAGAAAGGCAACGTAGTAAAGTAGTAAAATACAGATACTCAGAAGACATACTCCACTTAACTATGTTAATAAACACAATGCACTAACATACAGAACATACAGAAAACTCCATCATTCTATTAATATTGGGTGTTCTAGGTAAGCTTAGTTTTTGTACAGAAAATTTCGATTTTACTGTGATGTTTACACTACAAAAATTGAAGTTATATGACTAGCATTTAAATTGTAAAATGAAACAATATACAACCTAGTAAAAAGAGAAACTAAATCAAGAATTCCTTATTCAACAGGTGCAGGAGAGACTTTTCAAATTTAAGAATTACGAACTTTATTCTGACTTACTACAAAAAAAATTGCTACTCCCTTAATTTTTCTGATTTATTAAGAAAACTTACAGCCTTTGTAGCCTTTGTTGCCTTTGATGAACAAAGAATGGAAAAGTCCAACGTATGTCAGACATATCTCTGAGAGTCAGAAAAAATTAACAGCTCTTTCTATCATCATAATAAATTGTAAACATTTGTTGATAGTTAAACAATAAGCAGCAACCTGGTATATATAGTGGTAAGTATACAGCAGTATGTGTTAGTTTGAAATATTGAATTAAAGCTCAAAAAGATTTAAGCCTTGGTATTTAGGTTAAGCATTTATAAACAGAAAATAAAATTAATATTTAATAAAATAATGAGAAGTTATTTATCAATGTTTCAATATCATGAATACAAAAATCTTATGATGAAGCCTTGTGGGTCTGAGGAGAGACTATATTATTTGCAAAGCAATTTAGAAAAGAAGTTGGTTTTATTCAGTGTTTAAAGTTTCTAAGGTTAATTGAATAATTTAATTTGCTGTGTTTGACTATCACTGCAGATAGATAAAAAACAGAATTTGAAAACATTATTGTTTGGAGAATTACAATGGTTGAAGGCATAGAGAGGGTAACTGAAGGAGTTTAAGATTAAATCTAAGTCTGTTTAGATGTTTTGAGTATAATATGCTTTAAGAGCATATTAAACACTGTAGTAAAGTTTTCTGCGAAGTCTCCAGAAGGGACAGAGTGAAACCTTACCAACAGAACTTTGCAATATGTAAAGGTCTTTTGAGACAATAAATAAACATGGACATTATAACCTGCTCATACAGAAAGGTCTTGTAAAAGCCTTCTGCTACTACTACTACACACTATCTGCAGTTTGATAATAACAGCAAATTCTTAAAAAGGTATGTACATTTACGCTTTGGCAAGTGTACAAGAATGAAGCTGTTAATATCCAATAAAACAAAAATAAAAAATAAACTGTGCAAAGCCAATTTAATAATAGTAACATAAATTAGCAAAATTGTCAGAAAAAAAAGCACACAAACAAAAACTCTCATGTTATGAATCATCATTGCTGCTTTTGCCATTTTAAAATCAACTATGGGGACATGCCTAGGCTTGAAGGGCTAGTCATCAAGAAACTGGTGCTGCTTTAGTGGAAGATCAGGTAAAAGTGCTTACAGGACTTCCTGAATGATCTGAGGCGTCTCCTGCACCACCTGCATAAGGAGCCTCTCGTTTCGGGCTACTCAGATGTCGTTCAGCCTCTTTGAATTGGACAAGCTGTTCATCTAAAGCCTCTTTTTGGAGCTGGAGTCTCTGAGTTTGCCCAGCTTGGACCCCAAGCTCTCTTTCCAGCACGTAGACTGCTCTGTCTTTTAACTTAATCTCATCCATCTATAAGGAGAACAGAACAGAATCACACACGGATGCACTGTACAGATCTATAGTAACCATGGAAACCTTTCAGTGAAGTCCCACACTCTATATCACGATGCAGACAGTGGCTTCACTTTCTATCTACAGACATCTGTAAGAGTACAAATAGGCTTATACTGTTAGAGTATTACAATTGCCATCAACAGTTAAGACAATACATCCACTTGTTACACACCACAATAAATTGGTTAGAACTGGTTTGAAGCTTTCATTAATTGTTCTGTTTTGGTACTCTACTAAAAAAACACAGAACTTTCAAATATTCCCTAATATATTTCTATAATGTTAGTGTAACAATCCTTAAAATATTGAATGACTTGCATATGAGGACACAGTACTAGGCAACATTTGTGCTGACATTAAAACAGTCATATAACAATTAAAACCCTGCATCATTTTCTATTGGGTATTATCCTTCACATTGTTTCGACATGATTAATGCATTTTATTTCACCTTCATTATACTATTATGATTGCTTAGTTTAGTAGGTATCGTTGGTAAGTAACTTTGATTATAAAACCATGCATTATGTAAAACATAAATAACTACTGAATGTTTGTACAAAATTATATTATTCCCTGAATAAATCCTTGAATATACAGGCACAATGTATGAAAACTCAGTACAGTTAGTACATATGGTTTATACCAACTGTGTATTATAGTAAAAAGGACATTGGTCATTTTGGAAACTGCTAAAAGAAGTTAATTTTGGCAAAAAACTATTTTATGAAGCCCCATTCATATCAATGTGCAAATGTCATAAAAAAGAAAACCATTTAAAATTAAACACCTTTACAGTGAAACACCTATTCTACTTGACAAGCAACAAAATGCCCATAAAAGGAAAAGTGCAACACCCAAGCTTTCTGTTTACAACAGACTATATCATTCACTCGTCATTCCTTGTAAATAGGAAATCCTTATAGAGTTCACATACTGTAAATACATAAAATGTGCTTATAACAACTGTATAGGAAAAAAGTGATTGATATACTGTATAACCACTGTGCCCTGTTTAAAATGTAAGTGAAAATTGTTTTAGAAAAATCACAGTTCTGGTGACTTTTCCCTTTCCAAGCTATTTTACATTAAACCTGCCCACATACCATATATTACTTAAACTCTAAAGAGCTGTGGTTTTACACTGTGCTCGGTCTATTAACCGGCTGTCTGAAAGCACTACTTGTACCCTTTTCGTCTCTTTTTTTTACTGTCCACAGAGAAGGGCACATGTGAAGAAAAGCTATTGAAATGAAGGAGTGTTTGAAACAGACGAGTTACAGTGAAAACAGAATGTATTTTTATCCAAAAAATGAAAATATCACAAGTTTTGTCTTTTGTGTTTTTGATCTCTTGCTGCATCATTTACATTTCTCTCTCCACATGGGCCACTTGATTTCAAGGCCGTCTAAAAGGAAAATGCAACGAGGGGTGGTCAAACTACTCACTGTCTCTCAATCTCATTGATCAAATAATATTGGTAAGTCCAAGGGATTTTTTTAGTTCTTATTGTGCCTTGAATCTTTGTGTCATGGTTTATAACTCCCATACATTTGAGCTATAAAAATAAGAATAGAGTATACTCACATAAATCTCCTCATCTTCATTTAAGCTAGTGTAAAAAGCCAGCGTGGTGAAGGATAAATTAGTACAGACAGAATTTAAAAATTTAGAATTTTCCACATTATCAGTTGCTTTCTTGGTTTCTGTTTTTCCCTCTCCCAAATGCATTCCCAGTCTAGAATGGTAAGTGATATTCCTGAAGCGCTAATTGAAATGAGCATTTCGTGAAAAAGCCAGCCAATCACAGTCGTCCCCTCATGTGATTGTTCTCACTGGTTAAAAGCAGTCACTCTCATTCCCTCAAAAGCACTTTTTTTTTACAGTTTGCAGGTGCGAAGGCATGAACAGAGCATGAAACAGAAGGTGCTAACATTGATAAAGCATCCTTGTCGGCTACGTTTGCTTTCTTTGTGTGAGCGTGGCGCTGCCATTTGCATTTTCTGTCTCACATAACAAGCTGGTCTCGAATCCCATGGTTCTTTTCACATTCCCATTCATCAGCTGCATGTCTGCCAGATGATGTATGAAAATGTATTTCAATTCGCTTTGTCTAAGCAATGTATTTCAATTTGCTATTTAAGACTCAGCCCTTTTCGATAAACTGAAAATTAACAGATATAAAATTCACTGTAAATAATGTTAATAATTATTCAGCCATGATAAACTAGCATAAATCTTAGGTTTGGAGCATGTACAGTGTAGCTGTATAATAAAAATATGTATTTCTGTAAGTCTGCACATATTTCTGAACTAACTTAACTTTTCCACAATAGTTCTTCACAGTGGTTGTCCGTACCTTCAGCATTCTTTAATGCATACATATACTGTATGTATAAAAATCTATCCAATTTTTAAAATCTTTTTGCTGCAAATTAACTCTTTGATGCAAATTTGATAGACAAAATACTGAGTAATATGATATACCATACTAGTATCACATTATACTGTAGTTTAGGAAACAAATCTTTCTTTCCATTAGACTTAATCAGATCTCTTTGAACACTTGAGTCTGTCTGCTTTCAACAGTCACTTATTTCATGGTTGTCAGAATTTTCCTGTGTTTGAACTTGAAAGAAAAAGTGAATGTACAGTACAACAACACATCTTGTCTGCCAGCATCATGAAGTGTTTAAATCACACCCCACGTCCATGTGGAGAGCACTGATTATGTGCTAATTTGCTTTACATTTGAAATGTGCTTTTTTAATATTGACTTCTTCTAGTGTAATTAAATAACTGATGTTATTTGTTGTTAAATGTTGTTAGAGCAGCATTAGTGAGGCTTCTGTTTTCTGCACAACCCCCAGCTATTGGAGCTCCTGCTGTATTTTCACTTGTATTCCCTACTGTTTCCCTTTCAAACAATGCAGCTGTTAATCATTCATCTCCCCCAAACAATTAGGTCAGCTGAAGATGAAAGACACACCTAGAAAATGTATTTTGCTTAATCAGGATAATAGGCTGCAAAATTTAACATAAATCAATTCTCAATTTTATTTCATGTTTGCTATCGACCCACACTTCTGTGTGTTATGTTTCAACCTATTTATAGTGCTGCAAAGACTGCAGTCAGACAGAAATCCCCTCTGAGCCTCCAGTCATTGGCAGACTTGTTATGTGAAACTGCACTAGAGCAATTTGTCATAATAGACATCAGTTCCCTGCTTCAGTTGTAATCTTACGGATTATTCCTGGGTTTGTTCCAGTGCACAGTGCCCTGCTTCTCGAACACGCAATGAAACAGAATACATAATGCCCTCCATCCACAAATACAGATTCTCTACTTCACTGTGTCAGATGGGCTTTTCTCTAGTTCATAAGAGCAAACTGCCTGTTTTCAAAGGACCAATGATGTGAAATGCCTTAGAAATCCTTGTTGAATTACAAACAGGGTGATTTTAGAATTATTTCGTGGCCCTGCTTTCAGTCAGACATTCATATACCGTGGTTCAGGGCCTTAATTTAGTATTCTACTCAGGGACTCTACTATACACAAAAAATGCCAGGGCCAGGAAAAAAAAAAACTGGTGTGCTTTTAAAACATGACAATAAATCTACAAATAAAAAAAATGGAATGCATGCAAATCACAGAGACTATTTAAGGACCTAAAAAAACAAACAGTAAGTCCATAATAAAAGTTTTATATTTTACAACTAATTCAAATTCGTCACTTTTTTAATTTTAATGTTTTTATAAGAATGCAATCAAGCATCACAACTAGTTTTAGCTTTCTTAAATTATACTAGGAGTCTTCATTAAATAATCTGTGTAAACAGACTAGAAATCCATTATAGTGCCCATGCCCAAGGTCAAACAGCCTAATAAATATTTATTTTGTACTTCAATCAGATTTAATTGTACATTTAAAATAGTGTACATTTAGTAGTAGTACATATGGTATATTTACATGTACACTAATGTGACTATCTGCATTAATGTCTTGTTACAAATTGAGTCTTTAAAGCAACAGTGACTTTATGCAGTAACCTGCTTTTCTCCCTGTTTAGGAGATATTCTGCACTTTCAGTATTTCTTTACTTTTTTCATATTCTGTTACAAATAAAAATAGACTTCCAATTATAGAACAAAGGAATGTTATCTGTCCTTAATCAGTGAACAGAAATACACAAAACAGACTAATACTATTTAGGTACAATATCCGTGTCCTTTCAAACTGTAATAACATGTGCAATTGTCTGTTGTCAAAAGAGTTCTGAAAATAAATCTCGTCTTTGAATTAAAAAAGAAAAGGGTATTTCAACAAAGGTGCTCCCTTGAATGTAAAAGTGTGTGTTCTAAATATGGTACCAAATGTAGGCAATAGGATAGCATATGAACATCTGCATTATTCCAAATTTCTTCAATTTATAAAATGAATATTTATGGAAATGTGAGATTTTAAGCTACCATCTTCTTAACTGATTTGTCAGAGCAGCTAAAAATGTGATTCATTAACAAATAATTTTTCATTCCAATTGGTGGAAATAATCTGATTAAGGTTTATCCTTTATCATTAGTTACAGTGCAATTAAGTTCACCCTTTCTGTTAGCTCAATTAAAATGTAAAACATGTAACATTCTAATTCTAACTAGGTTTTTTGTGCTGTTGTTAAATGGAATACTTTACATTGTAGTTTTAAAGATGGATTACAAAATCGTTTATAATAAATAAATCTTGCCTTTGGCCCAATGTAGTCCCTATTTAAAATGTTTTGCATTTTAACTCTGGTATTACTTGTAAATAGCATGGCAAGAATATATTTTCAAACCCTTCAGCTATATCTAAGGTGACTAGTACTGTACTTTAATCCTTTCTTGCAATATTTTGAATCAGTAAGCCTTTGGACTTTCAACAACATATTCAGTTCCCATGTAGTACATTGTAGAAAAGTAAATAATTAAGGTCATCAAACACAGCTTCTGAAGACTGACTTGAAAAACATGAAAATACAAATCCTTTCCTTTTCAGCATTGTCAGTGTTTCCCATACACGTTTTAGTATTTCAGCTAACAACTTCCAGTTGGTAACATACTGTAAGCACACTAAAATGTTAAGATGTAATTGGTACAAGTACAGTATGTGTGATAGTCTTAGTGCACTGAGCACGATATAGAAGTAATAATAATAATAATAATAATAATAATAATAATAATAATAATAATAATAATTGCTTACACTTATATAGCGCTTTTCTGGATACTCCACTCAAAGCGCTTTACAGGTAATGGGGACTCCCCTCCACCACCACCAGTGTGCAGCCCCACCTGGATGATGTGACGGCAGCCATAGTGCGCCAGAACGCCCACCACACATCAGCTATCAGTGGGGAGGAGAGCAGAGTAATGAAGCCAATTCACAGAGTGGGATTATTAGGAGGCCATGATTGGTAAGGGCCAATTGGAAATTTGGCCAGGACAAGTAACACCCTCCCCTGAAATCTAGACAGTGTAAAACTCTGCTAGGGAGAGGATCTGATTTTTTGGAATGGTGGAGTTGTCCAGTGTCTAAGGAGTGGAGCAGTGTGTGCTTGCAGTCCTCACGTGACCACTTGACACACATCTGCCGTAAACACTTTTGTTAATTACCATAGTGAGAATAATGTCATGGTCTGGACATGCATGACAGCTTCTGGAAATTATCAAGCAAAGTATCTCAAATGAGGCCACAAGAGTTTAGTGAGCTCAAGCTCAATAGGTTAAGTCTTTCATGTAGTTATTGCCTCCAAGGGATCTGCAACCAGCTACTACCATCTAATATTAAATACTTTAATATTATATTATACATATTATTATATAATTATATCATCAGTAATAATCTCACGATCACAAATACAAATTGCACAACTGCAAAGTATAGCAAAACCAACAGATTTGACTTTGATATCCCATTCCTTCTGGAGGACACTATATATGCAATATGCAGTTCACACACACATATTGTATAATGGTTTCCTTTTAAGGTTTGAAAACAATTTATAGATTTTTAATTAACTCTTGTTGCAGTAAAAAAAAATATCATATTTCTTGTGTTCTTACATGCAGCACAATGACAAAGATGCGTGTCATATCTGTGAAATGTAGGTTAGTCTCAAACTATTCCCAGAAGTGTAAGAAAATGCTACATTTGCTTTTTTATCTTTGGGCATGTTATTTTAATGATTTTTAGAGATTCCTTGGCAAGCATAACATATGGATGTTTTGATAACACCTAAAAGTGATGTCTCTGTCAGGTTAAAACAATTACTCTCTTTATTGAGTACAGTCTCAAGTTGTCCTTAAGCTTTGTTATTTAGGACCATCCTTATTGATATGTCAAAACTGCAAAAATTGTGAATGATCTGCTTTAAAGTCAATACACTGTTGGTAAAGCTAAACAGTGTTCTCCTCTGAAACATTGAAATCCATGCTTTTTACTGCCATGAATCAGTCTTCTTGGCATATTTCAATTTAATTAATTTGATTTAAATTTCATAATAAATTCAGAAAGAAAGATAAGACTAATCTCAGTAATTAGTGATAATATAATACAGGAGCCAACACGTACCAGTCTTCGAATTTCCCTTTCACATTCCTTTTTGATTCTGGAGATCTCCTCCTGATGAAGATGATAGACACTCCTTATCTCTGCAGCTTTGATTTTGTCAGCTTGTATAACCATGCTCAAAGCCTCTTCCATTTGTTTCTTAACCCCCTTGAGCTCAGATATCTCCTGCTGCATCCTGGATTTCTCATTCTCGAAGCCCTTCTTGGCCTCCTCCTTGGCCTCAGCGAACAGAGCGGTCTTCACTTTGTCGGTAGAGCCATCCCGCAGGGCGTTGACGAGGGCCTGGAGCCTCTGGATCTCGCTGTCCTTGATCTTGATGACTCGGACCAGCTCGGACTCATGCTGCCGCAGCAGCGTCTCCCGCGCAGTGTGGAGCTCCTTCATCTTCTCCTCGTGGAGCTTGGCCTTCAATTCCGTCACCACCACTGCAGACTTGTGTTGCTCGTGTTTCACTTCTTGGGTTTTCTCTCTTTCCAACTTGCTGACCTAAAATGGATTGAAACAGAACAAAAACACTCGCATCACCATGGACAGATCAATATATACAGTATATATTTCTTGAAATATTTATTTCTCCCTGTACTTTACGTTTGTAATATTTATAAATTAGTCTACCATGTTTCCATTAATGCATTACTTATCTGATTAAATAATCATCTAATTTCTGGAATAATTTTATATGTGCTAGCATTTCCACAGAATACCAACAACTAATGTTCACTCAAGGATATTACAGGTCCTGACAGTCATGTTAACCTGACTTGTACTGCAAAAAGGAACAACTAATAATGTAACACATAATCCTCTGAGAAATACAATACGTTTTCTAAACTTGTGCAGAAATTAAAGTGATGCAATCAGATACATTCAGCTCACGAGTATGACACAAACCTTCTACTTGGCCATTTGTTTTAATTCCACTTCTCTTGAAATAGTGTTTAAACAGGCATTACAAAAAGGTTACAAGTAAAACACAAATTAGACAAAAGTATCTGGTAACCCATGGTTACCCTGAAAATATTGTGTAACTACCATCTTTAACCAACAATCTCTCTGATTATATGAAAAATAGACCACCCTGAGTATTACTAAATCAAGAGTGGTTTTAAAATGAAGCAAATCTATTTTAAATAATGATTGTCAAATGTAACATTCTTGTGGAGGTAGAAAGCAACACATAACATGGTGCAAATAATGAACTTTGAATTCTGATTACATCAACATTTAAACAGTTATTAAAAGGATATTCATAGTGGTAAGTACACTGTACTGAAATTTTTCTTTTACTGTTAACCTTAACATTAATGACATCTTGCTATGATAGGAAATTTATTTTCATGAGCAATTATTTTAGAGTGTGTTTTTAGATTTTAGGACTTTCAGGTTAATGTTCAGTATAATGAATACATATATATATATAAATCTCAGTACTCAAACCATACTTTGTGCATAAATCTCCATTATGTATTTCACCACACAAAGATGTCAATCAAGAACAATAACATGTATGCAAGCCTGTGTAGAATGAAGGTATAGACAATATTGTGTCCTTGTCAGCAATGCAGATATTGACTTCTCTATTGTATTGTCCCTTTAATGAAATATGGCCTGTGCTGGTGCACTACTGAACAATATAAGAAAGGATGCAAATGAGAGATGACAAGTCGACCTGTCTTATGGTATTTGAGGTGCTAAGTGAAACTAAACTTTTGTTTCTGCAAATAGTTTGGGTATTAACCATGTGTTCCAGTTACTCACAACAGTTTATGTAGAGAAACATATTACGTTCTCTGTGAGAAATTAATTCCCTTTTGGTTTCCAATTGTGAACCTGGGTCTTTGTTTCGCTACAGTGTGTGAATTTATCCACCTATGACTCTATATACTTTAATCAAAACTCCTCTCAATCTCCTTTTTTAGACTGAAGAGATTTAGTTCTATTTAAAGGGAATTGCAATGTTATTTTTACATTTAGGGGTTATAAGGAATTGGCATTAATGATTGCATTTCAAACCACAATGAAAGTAAAATGTAAACAGTAACATGTAAACCTAACAAAATAGACAAAATTTCCAGGTATACGTAGTGCCATATTGCTGTCATTCTCTGCAATCCAGAACAAGGTAGCAAAACATCAGATGACTTGAAGCAGCCCTACTACATCGTAAACAAGCAGGCTTGTGAATACATCTCTTTAAACCAATAGAATTATTGCTCTTGATTCAAGATGGTTTTGCCGATAAATACTACTTACTTGTTAACTCTGCATGCAGATCACATTGGAACATTTCTCCACTGAAATGTCTGCACAATCTGTACTTATTCGCTTGTACATTGTGTTACATTATTCATTAGAGCAACTAGTGAGCAGGAAGGGCTGCTTCACGTCGCAGTTCTTGCAAAACTCTTGACAACATGGTGACAACACTGTACTGTCACAAAGTGCATGATCGGGTGCTTAATTCGTAATCTGTGAAATTTTGTAATACAGTCAATTAATTTATTTTTTAACCGAGATATAGAAACCGGTCAGAAAAATTGGGACTGCAGTTCCCCTTTAGCCTGTCTCCTGATGACAATGCCTTGGGATCATTAATCATTCTTGTCTCTATTCTTTTTGGATATCTTAAAATGTTATTGCTTTCTAAGTATTCTTCTCCAGATATTTTTTTCTAAAAACTTACATACACTACATACTGATGGAAAAAGGAAAGCAACATTTTCTGGAATGAGAATACTATAGTTACTATACAGTAGTTAGTGTACTTTCACAAAAAGTTGTCAATTTGTTTTAAGCAATCTGAACAGCAATACAGCTTGTGTAGTGAGGCATTGCAACTTGCCAACCACATGAAAGCTCGTTAGGTGCACTTTTACCCAACGAGGTCCAGGTGGAACAATGCCTGATCAGGATGCCTTTAAAAAGGCCTTAATTCGAAGCTTAGGTCAATGCAAGAAAAAGGCCACACTTAGTCAGCTTTCTGTGCACACCTCAGACTGGTCCATCTGAGAGATTGTTTCCGATCTGCCACCTGTACTGCTGCTGAAACTGCTGGCAGACACAATGGCCACATCAGTGACGCGACAATGAGGCTCTAGGCTGCTGGCCTTAGAGCAAGGCAACCTATCAGAAGCCCTCTGCTCACACCTCCTAGATGTTACACCCGACTGGCTTGGGCCAGACAGAGGCTGTGATGGACTCGTCAGCAGTGGCATCAGGTCCTCTTTACGGATGAATCACTCTTCAGCCTGTTCCAAGCAGACGGGAAGGCCAGAGTGTGGAAAAGGTGTTGCATTTCTTTTTTCCATCAGTATAATAGGAGTAAGGAGTATCTATAATTATCTAATTAGAGATACTGTTCTTATTATATACAGTAATACCCAAGCTAGTGCTATTTATGAATAACATCCTTCTTGAATATATATCGGAAAAACAGCATCAAGTCCTGATATTTAATTGGTTTATAGCCACCATAACCCTTATAGAACCATAGTGTCTATTCATTATTTGGACTGTTAGAACATGTCCATTATATGGACTATAATTTGGAGGAGACAAATGAATAACTGGTATCAAGTCTCAAATGTTAATTTAGATGAGTTTACTCATTATGACACATATAAAATTATTTTCAGCACTTATTATATACTAAAGCAAAAAGAAGTGAGTATATTACATGGCATACATGTGCAGCTAATGCTGAATCAGGTGAGCTATTTCTTAAATGCCTTCTTTCTGCTGTTCTTACACAAAACACCAAAGGAAAGTTGTGCAAGGTGATGAATAAATTCTTGAGTTACATTTAAACCCAATTGAACTAAATTTTATCTGGCGGTCCTTAAAACATGTCAAATCAATTTATACATCTATATAATACAGGAGAGCTGGCTCAGAATGGCAGTGTTACCTTGTACTGTATGACTTTAAAACAATAAATGAAGATCAATTTATTATGAAACATCCTATAAATGCTAGCCTATGCTGTTTTCATAATTACAGAAAATTACCTTTTATATTTTGTTTATAAAAAGCAATCAACTAGAAAGTGTAAGTAAAAAATAAATTATGGCATTGGGAACAGAAAACTGTTTCAAAGCTGCACAATACCTGCACAACACCTGCACAAATTCCCCCAAACACCACTGAACCTAACTACCCAGTACGTCATGTACAGTATACTGTATAGCATTTATTCTCATCCAATAGAAAGGTCTCCAAGCACATGCAGTGAACTGACACCAGAGACAATGAGTCATACAAGATGCTACAAAGGTTCTATTGATTCTGATTCCTACCAAATGAATATAGACACCACACTCAAGAAGTTCATACTGTAGCACTGAGCACAACACTTATTTTCTTCAGAATCTTCCCTCTAAAAACATATCACTTTATAAGACATCTTAATTTATTATTAGATATTTTATAAAAATGACATATTTGTATTGAAGCTATTGATACAATAACCAACTTCACATTATTTTATGTTTGCCTTACGGTACTAATCATTTAAATCTAAACTTATACCAGATCCTCATTTCTACTGTACTTGTCCATTGTTCCACTGTATTTATTTGTAATTTATTTTCCCAGGCATGTTAATAATGCATGTTTGTTTTTATTTTCTAGTGGTTTTAGTGCCTAGTTTTCTGTTTTCTAAACTATATTTAATGTCTTGATTAATATACCAAGAAAAAAGTAAGAAAGCTTTTAATCAAGACAGTGGTTTCCGAAGGCTGAGCATATCATAGCATATTGCCTTGTTTCTTTTAAGACAACCTCTCACTTGTGGCAGATTTGGGCACATTTGGATTTGTGTCTTAAGAGGTGCACTAAATTTGAAAGGAAATGCCCTGAATATATTTTAAAAAATATTTTAAACTTACAGACATCTGTTTATATTTTAATAAAATATAATGAAACCTTTTTAGGATTTTGCCAATCCAACACTTACAAACACTACAGCTTTGAAGCTGTATTGTAAAAATTCTGTTCTACAGTGAATGTTCAAACTCATTTATTTGGCGAGATATTTCTGTGGTTTATCTCCAAAGTATCTTTTGATTCACATTGGGTACATTTTTATTTATCATTTATTCAAGGTCTTCTAGTTCTTTAGTCAGATCTCAGCTCAGAATTTCTTAAACCTGTATTTAACCAGATATGATACAACTTTTCCTAAACTCTTAAATTGTCATTGAATTCCAGAAAACTTTTCAGACTACTATCATAATATATGGACTGTAACACCGGGAGGCCCATGTTGTGGGCTACTGTCATAAAGATAACCATATAAGAATAAAATATTTTTTAACCTGTAACCCAAATTTATCATTATTAGTATTATTATTATAACATAAAGTACATTGCATTCCTTATGGACTCCCCCTTCTAATGTTAGCTAAATGTATTTTTGATTATAACATAATCAAAATATACTGATACTGGAAGACCTCATTAGAAAGGCACCATGTGTGAGTGAGGATATCAGGGCAGAATGTAATAACAGTGTAAAACATTACAAATGTGCCAACCAAGAATACAGTCTTACACTCATTTCCAGTTTATAGTAATTGTTGTTCAATATTCCCCTAAGATTTCTTGATCATAGTAAAATAAACAGTAAAAGCTGATTTCTTTAGATGTGGCAGGCTAATGTGTCAGGAAATTGACAATGCTGTAACCTTGAGGTGCTGTGTCTATTACTCCTACATGCAACTGGCAGTGGTGAGAAGGTTTCTCAAGTTTGTCAGTAAGTGTAAACGTCCAATGGATGAACAACTCTGTAGGTCCTATAGATGATGATCGCCTTTGGGAGAATCTTAAGCAACAAATGATGGAGTAATACTTGTAGCAGTGCAAAATACAAGAGTAAACTGTTTAATACTGTCAACCACTGATATAATAATAATAATAATAATAATAATAATAATAATAATTGCTTACACTTATATAGCGCTTTTCTGTTTACACTCAAAGTGCTTTACAGGTAATGGGGCTTCCCTCCACCACAACCAATGTGCAGCACCCACCTGGATGATGCGAAGGCAGTCATAGTGCGCCAGAACGCTCACCACACATCAGCTATCAGTGGGGAGGAGAGCAAAGTAATGTAGCCAATTCATAGATTTGATTATTAGGGGATTATTAGGAGGCCATGATTGGTAAGGGCCAATGGGAAATTTGGCCAGGACGCCAGGGTTACACCCCTACTCTTTTCGAGAAACGCCCTGGCGCCTGTTTACAGTATAGTGCCCCCATCACTACACTGGGGCATTAGCACCCCCTGCTGGCTCCACTAACACCTCTTCCAGCAGCAACCTTCGGTTTTCCCAGGAGGTTTCCCATCCAGGTACTGACCACGCTCACACCTGCTTAGCTTCAGTGGGTTGCCGGTTGTGAGTTGCAGGGTGATATGGCTGCTGGCTATTGCTGACTTTAAACTGTTTTGAAATGTATTGACTATATTGACTATTAGCCAATAGATATTGGCCTGTAGATAAATCATTTTGTTTGCCAAATGGTTTGCTGATATGCTGTGTTCTCATGTTATTCTGAGGGATCTTCAGAAACCTCTGGACTCCATAAGACACAGGCTAATACAACCCAAATACAGTAAGTAGTTTCTATTTTCTCTTTTCCAAAGGGAATCGAACCTTACCTGCTTTCAAACATGATGTTTCCTCTCTTCTACTGTAGTTGTGATACATATCCAGAATCAACTCAATGAAAAACTTCCCTCCAACATAAAGGATTATCTCCATTGCAACTCAGCCATTCACCAGCAGGTACAGGCTGTCACTTTTAAACCTCAGGCTTATCAAAGTTTTCTAGAAAGAGGCTTTGAGGAACTGGAGATTTTAAAATATCATAAAAGGAAATAATAATTCCACACCGTAGTAATGCGCTTTTGTAACTAGCTAAATAATTATTTCTAGTACTCTTGTTATAGCCGATTAGCAGATGCACTTCAAAGGTATATAAATAAAGCAAGAGCTGCACACCTTACTCTTTTCTTGCTGGAGTTCGATTTGGATGTCTGTCAGTTTGGCCCTGAGCTCTTCATTGGCAGCTTGTAAAGCAGCTAAGGCATCAGGTCTGTCTCCCTTAGCTCGGCTGCCGGCACCCTTCTTGGACATTGTGAGATGATGTTCCACAGGGTGAAACCCCCAGCAGGGAGAACCCTCTTTTCTGAGGTCTGAGGCTTCACTTTCCTTCTTTGTTTCAGCTACATTTTCTTTCACACCTGAGAAAATAGATTAAACCATAAGAACCATAAAATTGATGTTTATTATTTATGAAAAACAATATGTAATGTTCTGAAAAAAGTGCCAAAATGGTGTGTCAGTGTTGTAACACACACCTAAAAACAGAACGTTTACAGACAAGAGAAGTCCACTTATCTTGCTTATTGGGTTTTTAGGAATGAATCAATCCAAGGATCCCATCCAGTCACCTAATTAAAGAAGCTAAACTATTACAACTAGACTACCAGACTACTATCTCATTATTGTAACTAAACAATATTATCCCGAACAAGATGTTATTTGACACAACAACTAATTTGATTATACAGGATTTGTCAAAGATGTACTGTAGGCTACCTATGATGTTGCTCAAGAAAGAACTTTGTACTTGACTATTTTCTATTTTCTTTATGCATCGACAACTGAGTTATTTTTGCTATTGAGGCACTTTTATTATTTTGTGCTAATTGGGGCATTAAGTCTTTTTTCACTTGGAAAATTAAGAGGAAGCATTGAAGGGAGACTGTATTTGTGACTCGATGATTAAGCTCTGAAGAAACTCTGCTTTCAAGGGTCCAAAACCCTAATGTTTGAGATTTTGGACTGACAATTTATCTTATTCAAGTACAAAAAACACATGGGTTAATTAACTTGAGAGCAATGTGATTACATACCATCGCAGCTGCTGGCTGGCAAATGATCTTGTGGTGTATTATTTAGAAACACAGACACGAAAAACCCATATTGAATATTTAAATATGGATTCTTGTGAACACTCTGTCAGCGTTCACACATTTATTTGGCCAGGTGACACTGGTTTTTGGATACAACTGCAGGAAACCCTGGTACTCCATACAAAGTTATTCTAAACACATTAATGCATAAAGAGTGATAAGTTTATTTTTATACTCAGTATTTAAAGTACAAATAATATTTTTATTTTATTTCTTTATTTTTTAATGAGACACACATAAAACAGCTTTTAGTAGTCATTGTTTTTTCTGAAAAATGTGTGGGAACATACTGTATACTGTATAATGTATACATGCCTGTAGAGTTCTATTGGTTCTGACTCACAAATGAAATTGCTTCTAACTCATCAAACACTCTATAATGTTCGTTACAGTGTAATGTAGGATATGTATCTAACACAGTAAGTCTGCTTCACCACATCCTCAGCTCATCACACTGCTAAGTGTTTTAAAAAGGAAAAAGACTTATCTGTTCCACATTTATGACCTGCCCTGATAGAAAAACCCAACCACCTCCCTTCAATAAACTGAAGTCTGGCTGAAAATTTGAATATGAAGTCTTCTTTAATACACAATGACCATAAAATGTATCACAGGCAAATGATGACAATGATAAAAAATACTTTAGTTCATTTATCTTACCTTGGCATGTTGTGATTACAATGAAGCTATCAATAGTATACATTGCATGAGGTTATAAAGTATTGAGGTACTCATTATCACACATTTAAAGAATATAATATATTGGATGCAATAAAATTAAATGGTACCAGTAAGTCTCCTAATATTTTTAATCTTTTTTTCATTGTTCAATATCACTGATAATTACTCAAAGTGCCTTTATTAGAATGATGTACTTCATTAAAAATGAAAGAGCACTATCACTAAGAGAGGTACTCCATCTGTGTGTGCTGAGACATTAAGCGATAGACAAAGGAGTCTGAATCACTTAATTTTGACAGATATACTGAATAATGGCATATATATTTTCTTAAAAACCCTTTAAAATACTATATATTTTTTAGGATAACAAATTGTCAATCCTTTTACTTCAATTCTTAGTTCTTATTTAATATTTGGATGAGACAAAATGTATAATGATAAAATAAATTATTGTTAATAAACATCTAACCTTTAACAACATAGAAGAGCCTTTATTTAAAGTATGCCTCTTAGTTCCATATTATGTAAGCTAGTTCTTCACAAGTGGTCTGCACTTTGTTATCATTCAAAGCCACCGCTTCACACTCAGGTCACACTTTCACAATCTGAAAACATCAGTGCATTAGTAAAATTCTCATCTGTATTTTTTATCCAGTCAGCTTTTTACTGCGTAGCAGCACATACATCATAGAGAGTTGTGCTAGCAGCTTCCAGTACAGCCCCACCCAAACCAGGCGTTTGTCTGATTTACTACAGTACGTTATTCACTATAGAGCAATCAGCTGTCAGCTGTGTTCCCAATTATATTTAACCTATTGGCATGATATAAATGTTAAATATACATTTAAGACAAAAATGTACTATTAATTAATGCACTCTGTATGTTAACAATATTTTGGTGTAGCAGGCCTAACACTTCATTAAGATTCAGACAGATTGTAATGATTTTGTAGTATTTTGCCTTTCTTCAAGCTAAGACTAAACATTATTTTGTCCCCATAAGACATGTGACTTTTCTCTTTCAAACCTTGACCTTTGACATGAAAGAAAAAGAGAAGGGAACGTGACTGGCACATTAATTAGTATGTCTGGATACAGCCTCCTTCCACAGACTATCAAATGTGCTGAGTGATCAGATACTGTAGTACTACACACAATTCTTCATCATGCAACAACAACTGCATTTTGCAAATGAATTTAAGTAATCTAACCTAGGTTTAAAAACCATAATGAAAAAGAAAATTAGAGCATTTGGAATATTACTTATTGTTAGTTGGTCCTTTGAAAGCTTATCTCTTTATAATAAGCTGAGGAGCTGGTTTCTACTTCCCTTGGGAAACATATGGAGTTTTTACCTATTGGGAAGACCGTAGTGAAGAAGCTGTGAAATTTAGTTCCTAAGGGATGAAAGCTTTTCACAGATGTCAGTCAGTTTGTTACAGTAAATAGGGCTTGACAAAATCCAAAGGTTAAGTAAGTGATGACCTGCGATAACAGAAAATGTAATCTCCCCTGCAAATATAGTGCTCTTTAGGGTCATTCTTCAAGATTAAAGTTTTGATAGTGGAAGATTCCTACCAACAGATATTCAGATTTGAGAGAGACCATGTACTGTATGTAAAAGCAATTCTGATTTAAAAAAAGATAGCTCTGTCCTCTCTAAAGTGCTGTTTTAGAATTTGTCAGTAAGAGCAAATCACTAATTTTGATAGGTGAACATAACACATAATAGTGAGTGAGGCCCCTCATTCTTCCCATTAACTTTTTACATTGAAAAATAAGATTAAGTTAGATCAGCATCGAAAAAATAATATGCCTAGATTTTGTTTCTGTAGAAATATCACATTTTCCAGAAGGACATTTCCTGTTTGCTACCCTTTGTCCAGCCATACAGCCAGGACTCCTATGACTGCTCAAGCTATTGCAGCTTGATATGCCGATTCTATGCCAGTTTCTATTTGAGTAGATACTCATTTAAGAGTTCATTTAAGAGCATTGTTTCTTTTCCAAAACACAAAGTGTACTCGCTACAATTTTAACTATAGCTGAAGACTGCTATTTTTTAATAGAGATATAATAAAAGAAACATTGAGAACTTTGGATCTAGGTGCACTAGAACAGATCATTGTATTCTGCTTTCTATATTATTGTATTCTGCTATACTGTAATATATAATTCATACAAATCTCACTGAGAAAGAGACTTTCCAGTTGGTCTTCCCGATCTGTTTTCTCTGCTGTCTTCCAGGACTGTTTGCAATGGCCTTATGGGCTGAGTAATAACCAATAATATCTCAGACACAACCAACATGATTTTAGTAAAGCTATCCTAGTGGTAACATGCTTTCAGCCTTCTTGTCCTTGATTTTATGGTAAACTGTAGTTAATCACTTTTTGCAAGGTATTTAAGATACACTTCTTTTGCTTCCTAATCCCTTTATAACAGCTTGTCAAATCCACTCCCTCCTTTTTCACAAGTAGTCTACAACAGTTGCACCCACCGGATTTTGCTTAGTGGACAAATGTGTAAATCCTTATTATAATCCATCTTCAAAATGTTCTTCTTAAAATGCTGCCAGCACTGTGTTACTCTCTTATCTGACTGGCTGCAGGAAAACAACTCATCTAAATTAAGTATAATTTTTACAGGGAGGGTTTAAAAAGCACAAACTAGGTTGTATCAACCCTTGTGAGGGTGAGGGTTAAAGTAAGCAGAATTCATTGTAATGGTGAAACTGAACAAGTAAAGTCATAAGCGTGTTTGAGATGCAAATTAGTTGTACATCCACTAAGTGAGTGTCATTGAATGTAACCTTAAAATCCATTTGAATCCAGCAGCACTTTCAAAATAATTTGTACTGTATACTGCACATGGTATGTTAGTATTGATTCTACTAATTGTTATTCTTAAAAGCAAATATCTAATCTCTTTCTTTATTACATTTATGTTCTATTGTTAGGTGTAGATGCACACTTTTACATTTCACACTTTCATGTAACATAAATCCATAAATAAGCTACATTTGACACAGTAAAGCAAGACAAACAAGATAGGTACAGTCTAGCCTAAGTAACATTTGGTTAAGACTTAAAGGTCCATAGATCCATCCATTAATGCTTTTTTAGAATAATATAATACATAATAGATTTGACTTAATTCACAGTAATATTTGTTTATTATGTAAGGATATTATTTAATTTAACAATACAAAAGTACACAAGAAAGATTGTATAAACAAACTTTATGTTAAATACTTTAATACAGAAACTGATGGAAAAATAATTTAGTTTCTCATACCATAAAGAAGTGACTGAGTATCATAAAGTGCACTATCATCAGCTTTCCTAAGGCATGTCACTGATAAATACAACTATTATTTACCTGTTTTTTAAGAAAAGGAATGTTTATTTTTTTACCCGATGTCCCCATATTATTCTAAAAGAGAAAATCTCTTATTTTGTACCCTTTTTACTTTTATGTCCCATTGTTAGGTTTATGCAGATGCTGGGGAATTTCTTAGATTCATTAAGAGATTTGTTGAGTTGGCAACAAACTGAGATCCAGCCCCAAGTGCTAAAAGTGTG